GCAAAGATGTGTTTTGTGCCCACAATAAAGCGACAGTCATTGAAGTCTTTATTATTATAGAGTCTCTCGAAACTCGATCTTTTGTCGCAACAAATGTTTGGTGTCTTATAGATGACTACATTGAGTCTAACAGTGAGGGTATTATTGTCCAGATATTTATCCTTTTGCTCCAAAAGTACGGACCATTTAATAAACTCATTAAACCCCCAACCGGTCGGCTTAGCAAACGTCTGCTTTTTGACACATCTTTCATCTGATGACTGGTTATTGTTATCAATGACATAAATCTTGAAGTTTGTGTCCACAGATTTATCGCTGATTGTATTCAGACACAGAAAAACACCGACAAATTGGTTGTGATTTGGCCTAACCTTCACTTTCCATTCATCTGAACCTATGGTAAAGATATCACTAAAGAGATGACTGTCTGTCACTTCTAGGAAGTTATGGACTCTGAAGACAATCTTTGTTTTATAAATTAATTGATTGGACATTATGATTGCATTCAATTAATAATTTTCTTAACCGATAAACTGCTTATAAATGTTTTATGAGTTGATTATAAAAGTAAATTACTGCAGCATTTAAATTGCTGTAATTAAATTCACGTGCTATAATAATATTATATTCTACATCAATTATTTAACAAATCATATAATTTTTTGCCCTTAAAATTGATTTTTATAAGCAAATTAATTAATTATTAGTTTTAGCATTAATTTTGGTTATTAATTGTGAGTCTATAATGTAACCCCTATTAATTGTTTGATAAATTTATTTACAATTCTTACAATTCTAATTAATTAAAAATAATAATGAGACTATTGCTTTAAACAGAAAAAAATTAGATATAATTTTAGTTTTTTGTTTTACAGTATTGTGAAATGTCTACAACTTTCTTAGCTTGAGTTCAATAAAACCATTGAATCAAGCAATTACATTGTGTTGTACAACAAAATCATCAAACATTTACTAAACACGAGAATACGATTCAAACGCTCGCTTTAAAATTGACAACATTCAAAATCTAGCTCTAATTGAAATGAATGTATTTTTAGCAACAAAAAATTGGTAAAATTTCAAAATACAAAACACTGAATTTATATTAATATATACTGTATTCCCGTATTTTGTCACAATTGACAGCAAATATTAAGACATTGAGTGAGAAGTTTAGGGTATTATATTTGCCGATGCCATACAAATATAGCTCATATAGCAGTGTTTCATACAGTGAAATGTGATTCATATCTGTGTTTATGTATGTCTTATGAAAGTCAAGAAGATGTCAATTGATGTCTGAATGCTTACCTCGACATTCATGACATACCATTTGAGTTGAGCCTCGTGTGCATTAGTAGTGCAGTTGACGTTGAGCACTTCGTTCACGTCATACACCTGTTTCACACCTGATATTATAGGAGTCTCTCTGTTTGGCTGCAGAGACCAGTCTGTCCATCCATTTATGAGTTTAGCATTAGTTTTACAATTGGATACAAATCAACACAAAAATGCTAACAATTATCAGAATTTCTTTTGTGTGAAAACGATGTGTTTGTGTATGTATTGAGAGATCGGAGAATAGCTTTTTTGCCAAACATTTTGTTGAACTAAAAATAAACTGTTTTCATGCTTTGCTGACTCAATGAAATCCTACACTTTTTTTGCTCCCGACTTTCATAAATCATTTCTTAAAACTATTGAATTTTAAAATAATAGATACTTTACAAGCATTTCTCTCGTACTTTAATGCACTCATACTATGCTATAATTTCTGAGATCATAAATAAGTGTCAAAATTCTGGTTCTAAAATATACAACAACTTCTGTGTTGAGAATATTTCTAATATTCAAACTTTATGTACAACTTTAAAGTGTTTCCGATAATTCCGTAATCACTACAACCATATTCATATTGTATAAAAGCTTTAAGATTATCTTAAAAGTCGTTTGGATTTAATCTGAATTAATAGTCGTGTGTATAAAAAATGATTGAATTTTCTGGTTCTATGATATGTTACCTTTCCTCCAGGAGTACGAACTTCGATGGGATTTATTTCGTTGAGATCCGGCGATCACATACTCGACGGCTTCAAACTCGTAGACCAGTGTTAGGATTGCCGTACACTTCAGATTCAATAAACCCCTTCTGAAGTAATTAGGTGTGGCGTACAGTAGGAGACCCTGCTTACTGCTCTGCAAACCATCCACATTTGTCTGAACCGGATATTCAATCACTTGGTTTGGAGTTGCCTTCAATTGTTTGGAGAAATTATATCAAGAATTGTAACATAAAAACCAAAAAAGGACAGCAAAAACAGACATAAAGTTTAGACAAAACAAGTTTCACACAAAAATAAAATTAGAGTTTTTATCGTCAAAAACTCAAATTCATTTTTGATGGGAAACGTGTTTTTCGATTTTATTTGGATTTTGGAGTGCATTTCATGGGAAGGGAATCAATACATGGAGCATATGATTGTATACCAACCATATTGTCATTGATGAACCAATTGAGTCGTGGATGGGGTCTGCCGTCGCCTGATTTACAGCTCAAATTGATCTTATCGTTCAAATCATACGAGGCTTCAGAGCCTTCTATTCTTAGGTTTTCTTTCGGCAAAACTGAGTCAATACAAGAGATAAAGAATGAGAATATATTATATGAATCAAAGAATCTGCAAATTTCATTAAAATATATTCTGTTTTTATTTAACTTATTGTGAGAGTGAGTCTCAATTTTATTAACTTTACTCTAATTATGATAAGTCAGTCCCAAATGTTGAGCTAATTGTTAACTTCAATTACACATAACAGTCAAATGAAAGAGTTTTTGAATGATTAATGACTTTTGGACGACACAGAGAGTCGAGAGAGAGAGAGAGAGAGAGAGAGAGAGGGAGGGAGGGAGAGAGAGAGAGCAAATGAAATGATAACCAAATTATATTTTAGAAACTGAATGACAATAAAACTAATTTTTTCTAATTTTCTGGAGTTTTTGTGAATAACTTATATCTAAAGTAATTACAGTTTATTAAAGAAGTTAGCAAAAGAGTGTCTCATATGCAGTGAAACCAGCATTTATTAAACAGTGTTTATCACTCGCTCTATACATAATGTATGCAAACATTTATTTAGTGCTGAAAATATGAAAAATAAATACATTTCATATTCAAAGCCAAAAAAGCATACATTTATTTGTTCTTCACTTCCTATTTGTTGTTTAAATTTTGCGAAAAATCGTTTAATATAATATTAGTTTTGCTGAATGTTATTCACAAAAAAGTTAATATAAATTCATATCACTTTATTGATAATAAATTTTAATAAACAAAATTCTGTATTAATTGTTATTATTGTGGTTTTATTCCCACTCCACCTCCATATACACACTTTGGTCACAATCTCAATCATAATTCATGTGAAATTTTCTTGTTTAAACTAGGTTTCATTAAGCATTAATTTTATTTTTATTTAAAAATAATTAATGAACTTCTGTTTACAAATTTTCTAATTGAAAAATCAAATCTAACAATTTTATCAAATTATTATAACGACCCAGTTCATAAAGTAATTAAATTTTAGCCATCACTGAAATTAGAGTCTGAATTTTATTCATTACTACATTCTGCATACTATTACTCAAATTACACTTTTAATTGGTGTCCAAGTAATTAAAATTTTAAAATCAACAAAATATTGATATTAAGCAAAAAAGCTAAAACTTTATAATAAATGTTTAGATTGGGTTTGTATATAAATTGATAACATATTGAATCCTTTGGTCACTTGAATCACTAAAACCATCGATTAAAATATCAAAAGCCCAGTGAATACCCTATTATAGGAATAAACAGATGAGTGGGAAGGGAAGGGATGCCCAATGGGTGCAAAATTACTGATTCATCTCAATTGAGACTCATTTTTGCTTGAATTGCGATTAGTTATCATTAGAATTGTAATTCCAAAGCATTAGTCGAGCATTAGATCTCTGTTTCAAATTAGGCTTACAGTCAACCGATTTGAGAGTGAATTGCAATTTATTATATAAACTATTTCACTCCCGCTCCGAAATATCTATGTTTTCACTCATTTATCACGATTTTAGTTGTATTTCATATCATTTAAAACTTTAAATCAAACTAAACAACACTTACCATAAACTTTCATTAGTTGCTCGCTTCTGACGGTTGAAAACGACGGCCCTTTTAATCAAAATATTTGTATTTATTTTAATTATTAACTTTACAACTATTAATTGATTCTCATATAGGTTTTAACAGTTTGTTTGTTTATTTTGTGTCTAAATTGTATGTTTATAATCTGAATATCACCACGAACTGCATTGATTTGCTATTTAATTGCATTGCATTTAATAGCCTACTCTTAACGATCGTTTAAGAGTTTTTGAGATAAACTTTTTTTGTTGTAATTTTTGCAGTTTTGGTCGCCAAACAACTGATTTAGTTTTTATGTGTCGATTATCGTTAATATTGATACTTATGTCGTATAAGCCTTTTCTATATACACTCTGTGCTTATGTATCTCTGATGTCTGGCCTAATGTCTTATAACCTCAACCCATCATTCATTTACTCTTAAGACAATCTATTAGTTAAACCAATATTTTTTACTCCATTTGCTATATAAGTAATGATTTTTATATTTGTTTATTATCATTGAAGTCATAAATTATTAAAAGTCAAACCTAATAAGTTTTAATAAATTGCTTGCAAATGTTTATGAGATTACGTTTATTTTTATTTACTTTAAGTCAATTAGTATTGACTGGAATTTCAAATATTTATTTCTAAATAGTTGCACCAAAATAGGCTTTTTATGCAATATTTGCAACATTTGCACAATTTTACTATAAATATATGAATAAATGATTACATTGTTACTTGAATACTAAATAAATATCTAAAACAGGAAATTAGTATATACTATAAAACGTATAATATATACTTTGTCTTAGTTTATTGCTTACGTTTATATGAATTTAGGATTTATTTTGCAAAATAAATGCATAAAATTTTCAATTTTTATTTATGCATAAATAAAATATAAACATATTTATAAGTTATAAACTAGAACATTGCGTTTGGTTTTTTTATTGAATTTGTTTGACATTTTATGTCCTCTATATCCCTGTCCCTATCAGTAGGTTATCCGCTAATGTCTTAAATACCAAATCTAATCTATCGGTAATAATCATATTATTATTAATTTAAACTATTTCGGAAACACTGTATGAATTATATCTGAATATTTTGTTGAATAGAAAAATAATAAAAAGTTTGTCTGAAAAATGATAACCAATTTTATGAGTAAAGGAATTCTGAGAAACTGTTTATCATTTTTTAATAACATTTTTGGTCCATTAGTTTTTTCAAAGCCATTCAACATATCCTCTGAAATCTTTTTAAATTTTAGATAGAAATAGATTGTGATTTAAATTGATTTTTATAAAATATAATATAAAATGTCTCATAAAGGCTCCAAATATTCAATAAATTGACTCGCAATCTATTAGTCATTTTTATTATTTACAAAATACAAAGCATTTACATAACATAAAAATGTTATTTAAATATCAAAATGATAATTAACTGATATGTGATTTTATTTAATATTAAATTTATCTTACATAACTAGGTAAATGTGAATTTTATTATAAACTACTATATTAAATAAACTAGAATTATCAAAATAATCAATTTTCAAGCCGGATGTATTTAAACAAATGTAATTCTTAAACCTTAACTTTTGTGTTTTTCTTAATATGAAAGTCTTAAACTTAAACTAAACAAATTTTTTATTTAGAATTAAGAAATTGATTGAATAATATATGCATAATATATTTGAAAATAATATAAATAAATCAATAACCACATAATTGGATAACTTGTGAAAAAATGTTACAAAGTCAAATTATCACAAGTTGCAAATGCTAAAAATTTCACATTTGATTTTTATATGTAATAGTATTGTCTTATATATGATGTCCGATAATAAAATTTGCCATAAATTCCAAAGCCGTTGAGAATAATTTGAAAATTGTATTTTTGTTGAATGAAAATTTGATAACAGATATAGAAATTCTTTACTCAATAAAAGTTTTATGTAATATCAAATGATAGCACTATATGATGGGTTGAAAAATTATTGCAAAAACTTTTAATACTGTTATTTATATATCATATTAATAAAATGGGATTCATAGAAATGTTCAAATTTAATATATTTCAAAAAACTTATTAATATTGTATAAGCTTTTAACAATACGTTTCGATTTTATCTTAACTTTTTTTTGTTGATTTTTAGTAAATAAATATTTGAAATATATTCCGATTATAAGTCTAGACAATGATATTTGCTTATAAAGATGCAAATCAATCAATACCCTACGGCCCTGTATCATTTTGTAACTTCAATAGACTTTAAGATATGAATATTGTAATGTACTTGTTTATTTTATAAATCATCTAATAAGATTTTCACACATTGATTATTTCGGAACCTCTATTATGTCAGTAAAGATATGTTTATTTGATTTGTTGTGAACATATTGAGTGAAAAATAAAGTATTATAATGAATACCTTCGGTACTGATCTCACAGGCGTACATACCATCCGAGTACTGAAATGAGTACAACATTCAAAACATTTTCCAATTAATGTATTAATATTATTGTCCAAACATTTTGATTCAATTATTAGTGATGAATGACTTACCAAATCAGTATACGTTAGGAAAGCATGAGTTGAATTTGAACGCAAAACCTAATAATAATAATCAAAATCCTAATTATTATGATATCTGTTATGAAATTATTCTTATTTTTTATATGTTTTATATGTCAGACATTATACAGAATTACATTCATATAACTATTGTTCCCGAAAAAGCTATAACTATTTGTTTGATAAGTTAATTAATGTTGAAAATTAAATATATAAGAATTGTATTATTGGGCCAAATGTTTGTGTGTTATGGCATAGAGTGTGTTATGGCATAGAGTGTGGTATGGTATGGTAGGTATGGTAGGTATGGTACTGTTCAAAAGACACGAAAAGTACAGTTCCTCCCCATAGATTACAAATAAAACATAAAGGATTGACTTTGACGTGAAATATCGTGCGGCGAGAGACTCTTTTCCAGTATTTTGATCGTGCGGTTCAGATATGAGGCTAATCTGCCTTTTAGTTTGAGTTGGAGGTGAAGACACACCCAACTCAGCCAACTCTGCCGGTGCTCTCACTCTCTATGAACCTAATCATTAGGATTACAATAAGAGACATAAGAAGGCGAACACATCATAGAGTGAAGTGAAGCCACTCTTTCATTACACCAGTGTTTGTCTCCAATACGACTAATTTGGCTTAAAATACATTAAAAAAGAAAATATAATTTTTCTCTAATATCGACGACAGAGAAATCAAATATATATAGCTTTTTATCATTAATTTCATAACTCAATCATCTTTTTTCGGGTCACTGTTTGCCATTAATTCAATACTAAAAATAAAGTCCATGCTTTTTGGTATGTGTGTGAGTGACTGAATACTATATACATATTTAGTGACAAAATAATCTCTCAAAACGATCTAATTATGTATATATGGAGTAACATAACTGTCAATAAAAGGTTGAGAGGGAGAGAATGAACGTGTGATAAGAGAGACTGATTTGATGCATATATAGTATCAGGGATCATAGTACATAGTATCATAGCATATATAGTAGATGCAGAGAAAAAAGTTCAAATAGAAAAGACAATTCAATACTGACGTCAACGTAGGCGCCCCTCAGTTTGAAGCGTTGTCCGGGTTTGGGCTCCTCTGATGGCAAATACCTAAATTGAATGTTTTACCAGGATAAACATATGCCTATAGGTATTGGATGAATCACATCTATAGATACCTATAGAACTCGACGTAATCCTTATAATACTTAACGGAATAGAGTTCGTCGTCTTCGAGATCGAAATCGCAGTGAAGAGACACTGACTGTCCCTTCGCGACGGCCGCCGGCACTTCAAATCGGTTTACTCGCAAACAAACAGATTTTTCTGGGAATTAAAACAATTAAATACAAACGCATTGTTAGTATGTTTTGTATGTTTGGGAATCGACA